CCCGTGTTAACAGCGACATTTTTAACCATCAATGTTTACATTCAATGTTTGTGACATTTGTAATTTGTGACTAATAGCGACCTATATATTTTGTAATTTGCGATCAAGAAGTAAGTTTTGTGATTGTATGTAATTGAGTCCGTGTTAACAGCAAAATTTGTAAATAGACATCTATTAACCATGAATGTTTGTGACGAAACATGTTTACATTTAAAGTTTGTGACAATTTAGAACATTTGTATGTAATTAAGTTATTGACGATGTTATCTGCGACTAATTGTGACCATATTTATCTTCAATATAACAGTGTGTGACTAGGTTAGTCTAATTTGTTGTTGTATATAATCAAGTCACTATTAATTTTGAAAAACCTAACGTTCGACCCAACTAACACCTAGAGGGGGGGTGAATAGGTGTTCATGCGGAATTAAAAAAACTTATCAATTAATTCATGCAACAAGTCACAAGAATTAAATTTTGTCCAGATTCATTCACATGTCTTAATTACCTATGTTGAATTACCGGTAGCAATAAATAAATTAAAGCAATAAAAGAACACAACGAATATTGACGGAGAAACCCCAACTGGGTAAAAACTCCGGGCACAAGCCAGTAGAGATCCACTATTTGTAGAAGGTAACTTACAGCACGTCAGAACAATTGATCCCCTCAATTTTCTGACCTCCTTACTGTTTGAGAACAAGACTCTCCTGGATCTAGCAGATCTGTGCTACTATCCCAGCCTTGTCTGACTTCTACTTCCCGTGAATCATCAAGCACTCCCACTCTTCAAGCAAGTTCTTCCCGAATCTTCAATCTGAGGATCTTCTGGAAGTTTTATAGGATTTAGAGAAGGTGGTGTTTTGGTGTTTCAGGGTGTGATGTTTTTCTGCAAAAGCCAAGGATTTTTAATCTGAAAAGTTTAGAAGATTGTTTGGCTTTTTGAACCTTGGTGTGAAAGATATAAAGGATAAATATCCAAGGAATATGAAAGATTAAAGAAAAGTTTTTCAACAAACGCTTTTCGAGGATTTTGATCTCCAAGGATTTTAGAGAGAATTAATAATATGGCTTCAATGTGTATTTCCTCTATATTCAACTCGAAGGAGACGAATGGTATTTATAGGGCTCAACATATGGTCTTGTGGCGCGTCAAAAATTCGCGAACTTTTAAATTTAATGTTGCCCAGATAAATAGGTCGCTCGAGCGAGGGACCAACGTGACTCGAGCGACGTCCACTTCGCTCGAGCAACCTGCTGGCGAGGCTCTAGCGACAGTGGTTCTGCAATCGTGGCTCGAGCGAGATCATGGCGTGACTCTAGAGAAATCTCGCGCCGTTTGCAACTTCGAGGCATCCATCACAACCCTAGACCTAGCCTTCAACACTTTGATTAATTGCAACTCAAGTCCCTGAACTATTGGACATTTGACACTTTGGTCCTTGACCTTACAATTATGACATTTTAATCCTTGACTTTACAATTATTACATTTTGGTCCTTGGTCACAGATTTGCCAATTACATATTTCCTAACAAATTTGGTCACATGTCACAAATAAAATAGATCTAGTCAAGGTGAAGACATGCTTGATCACAACTGGTCTCAATTAAGAAAGACTTAATCATAGATTGTCACCACAAATAAATTTGCAAACCAGTGCCACAATACATATAGTCACAATTAACAAGAGTTTGGTCACAAGCAATCACAATTAGTACATACATGATCACAGACCAACGCCACAATACATATAGTCACAATTAACAAGAGTTTGGTCACAAGCAATCACAATTAATACACATGGTCACAGACCAACGCCACAATACATATAGTCACATAAGGTCACCACAAATAAATCTACACATACCATCGCTACAACCCAACCAGCACCACAACCCAACACATACAACAACAAACAAAAATAAAAGGCAAAATTCTATATTTTATACAAAAAATGTCCTACTAGGAAATTTAAAAACATCTTCAGAATATTAAAAAATGTAACTACTAATATAGGGGGTAATAAAAACATGTAGAAACATAGGGATCCAGGTGCCATGGCAATGGAGTATGAGTAAAGAAATCCAATCTCACTGAGTCAGGGACATTATTGAGAAATGTAGGAAAAATGATTTGTGTTATTAGACAGGCTTGTTGAAAGTTTCACTAGTCATTACAGCAACGTCCTAGCTGATCGGAGAACGTTGATGAATATTCGAGCACGCCTAAGGAAGATGAAGATGAAAGAAGAATAGATTCATGGCAATGTTTTTAACCTTGTAGAGCTTTGGAACTATACCTCACTACGATTTGGCCTTACTGTACAGCGGTTCGCCACTTCTCGTAGCAGTGTGCCGCTGCTACACCACTTGTAGCGGTGCCTCACAGCACGAAATGAGTTGTCGCTGCGGCTCCGAAATAGAAAGAGGGGTGGGTGGTGGATATTGATGGTAAGAGAGAGAGAGAGAGAGAGATGAAAGTAGGTTTCCTGTGATTACGATTTTGGAAATGAAATTAGGTTGGAATGAATGTGGGTGGGGAGGGGAGGGGAGGGGTGGAGTGGGAGAATATGTAGATTAAATTGAATTTTATATTATTATTATTATTATTATTATTATTATTAATTATCACCTGATTTATGAAAGTATTTAGGGAGTTTGTTATTTATGAAATGTGGTTTTATATTGTAGTAGTTATGTATTATTCCCAAAAAATAATTGCACTAAAAAAAATTTAAATGGGCTAGGGATTGGATTGGACTACAACACAGCCCAGTCCCTCTATATAAGTTACTGACATGAGCCTCCTTAATATCTTACTATCTCGTATCCATGTGCACAATAGACTTTCAATAAATGCCTATGCATGTTGAGTCTATTTATTATTATTATTATTTTTTTATGACAATTCTAAGAGAAAAAAAGCAATTGATTCGACTTTTAAAAGTCAAGTAAATTGAAAATTACAACAATATTGAAAAGAAAATACAATGCATTGCCTAAGAGGAGAAATTAATGAGAGAAGAACTACCATCTGCAAATTGGAATTGTGTAGTCAATTCTTAGTTTTATTGTATTTTGCTTTTCACGAAAGAAATGTGAGTTGTGGTGGTAGGCCAAGCAAAAATAAATAATAGGGGGAAATTGTCTAACTTTATATAAGATGGTTATAATGGTTCTGGGTCGGATCATAGCCTCCTCTCCCCCAGTGGAGGATAGAATAGAAAGTTTATTCACTTACAGATTGGTGCCAGACAACATGAGGAGGAGAGGTTATTGATTGGCTGGCTTGTCCCTACTCCCTTGTAAAATAATTTTATGTTTACCTTTTATAGTTATAACAGGTTATCCAGCCTTTCTTTGTATCTCTTTAAAATGAAATTATTTAATTTTCATATTCATTTTTAATCATTTATTCACATAATAAAAATATTTTTTACATAAACTCAAAATTTTTACTACTTTTTAATTACACATTCTCTAAAAATTACTATTCAAAAAATTATTTTTTTCTCAATAATGACCATCAAACAAGAGCTACGGGGTAACAAAATCATTAAGTTGTGTTTCCGAATCATTATACGTTCAATTGTAGTGCTATTTGGGTCAATTCTATTTCCTCGATAATTTATTGCTATCGAACTTATTTCATATTTGAATGAAATATAATTTTATCTTTAAAATAGAGTTAAACACTGAGATAGTGCATGGCTCTCCATTGAAAGATAGTCCTATTGACCTCTAAATGATGATCAACAAATTTCTCTCACCTATTCAAGATTTTTCCTTCGTAAGCTCACTATTTTGCTGCTCAATAGAGAGCAAGAAGAGAAATTGTTATTTAGGAGGAAAGCTATTTCAAATTCAGCATTATCTTCTTCATTCAAGACACGTCTATTTATAGATTTCTATTAAGGTCTTGAGAGTAAATGAGTCTTTTTAGTTGGTGATATGTGACAGCCTTTCATTGAATGATTTCTAACTAATTATGTTATCTACTAACATTTTATTTGCCATCTTATGTGTCCTTCATTCATTGGGTATGAAGTCATACTTTATACCTCTATTCACATTTGCTTGATAACATCTGTGGAAATGGAGTGATTTGATGGAAACAGTTAGTCATTTTTAGTTGCAGTTTTCGCGCTTACGAATGCTCACTTCTGCTTCCTAGAGTTCATATATGATTATGTGGTTCGCATAATCTGATACGATGTGCGAACGGTGTGCGCATGATCTGGAACAACTATAAACAGTTCGAAAGTTGTTTTATGCCATCATTTCCTGCGCATGGAATTCTGGAAAAAAAAATAAACGGCTATACTTGAGACATATGGGCCTTTGTTGATGCCATATAAAACACATCATATCATCTTAATTATAACCTCTTAAGAATGCCTTTAAACACTGATAATCACACAAAATCCTTCTAAGAATTATGATTACTGGCCACCAAGATTATCTCTAATTTAAAAATTAGGGTTCAGCTAGATGGAGAGTAATGGAAGAAAAAGATGTTACAAGACCAAGGAATTAATTGAAACTAACATTACTTGAACAAGTTGATAGGATCCCCTTTTTTACGTCCCCCCGTGTGGCGACATGGGGGAGAAAAAAGGAAAGAGATTAAAATTTTAAATCCTTTTGTGTAACTTTCTGACTTTTTGATTTTCTCCGAATTCCTATATACACCCCATATATCTCTAACACTTATAGTGAGTGGTTTTCTATGAATTTAATACAAACTTGATGTTTCGGTAAGTATACCTACTTACTACAAACTAAATTACATGTTAGCACAATCATATTTAAAGGGGGTCGACTAGGCCTTAATAGAGTCAAAATTAAATGTCGAGGAAAACAAATTAGTTTAGTAGGTAGAAAGACACTCGGTTAAGCTCCATCTGATTGAGACTTTCACTCGACTGAATGGACCATCAAGCACAATCACTCTCCTCGAATATCATTTGACTTATGAGATTATATAACTATATAACGCAAAGCACCAGAGGGCCCTTAATGCATAAACAATGATATGAAAAATTGGCAATCAAATGTATAGTTATCTTAGAGGAGCTGAGATGTTGATTACAAAGAACCCGTGAAATTGATATATCACCATGCTTAAAACCTACCCAACGAGAGCTATTCCTTTGGTCTAGAAACGCCACTACATCTGTGCACTCTGCGCTGGGGCTTCCAAGTTCACCAACCTTTCAAGAAACTAGTTGGATCCTAGAAAATCAATAGAAATTTCGACATGCCACCTGATGTAACCGAAGCGCGTCAGAAGCATGTCAAATCAAGTCAATGGCTTATACTCATCGGACACCGACTCGTCCAAATTTCTTTAGGCTCGCATCCACTTTGAACTAACCAAAACTCTATCAAATTGATTTCTCAATCTCAAACACAAACCTTGGCTTAGGCATCATAGTGTAGTCAATCACATAGTGCTTTCTTTTGTAGAAGTCCAAGCACACTTGCACGTATCTTCTTTTACTCATTTAAAATTTGATTCCCATAGTGACAGTAAACATAGAAAATCATAGCAAATTTCTACGTCAAAAATGTAATGAACCGAACAAAATAACAAAAAATGATCTATATATTCCACTTATTTTTTATTAAAAATAAACTATAACTTATTCTCATTTTATCCAGATAGAGAGAAAGAGGAAAGACATTGACAAAGAATCATTCTTTTCTCTTTTACTTCCCTTCACAACTAACATTTATCTTTCATCTATATATACTTTTAAGATTTTGCAGCTATCCTATGATTATAAAGACTCACCAATGGCAATGTAGTGCGTGTGTGTGTGAGAGAGAGACCACACCAGCTAAATTATGCAATAAAGTTGAACAAGCATAAAATAGAATCAGCACAAACCTGTCCTCTTGCTGCCTCCACTTGCATTGATGCAGTGTTTCCCCTGGAGGCCCCCATCAAAGTTTCTTTTATATATGATTGTCTCCCACCTTCCAATATCAAAATCAACTCTCAGCTTCTTTTTTTCTTTTACTTCCACTATAATTAAGGTATATGGTATACAGTGTACTTACATAGCCATCTATTTGTGCAGTAATCGAATGAAGGCTAAATACGAATGCGATACTGCACACGGAGAGAGTAACAAGAACCAATTTGTTTGAGGTTCACTATAAAACTCCTCCTCCCATCTCTCTCTAATCTTCATTCTCAAACATAATATAGAACTAAAAAGCCTAAGTATCTGATTGTCTCAGTTTGTGTGTATGTGAGAGGGAGAGGGGGGAGAGATCATCTTCAATGGGAAATTACAGGTTTAGATTATCAGATATGATGCCAAATGCCTGGTTTTACAAGCTCAAAGACATGAGCAAAACCAGAAACCATAACACGATTAACAAAAAGCACCCTTCACCAACGAAAACAGCCCAAAAGCCACATTTTTCACAACCAAGAAAATCCTACTACTACACCACAGAATCCATCAGAGTCGAAAAACTCTATACTTCACCAAAGAATCCAAGACCCTTTGATCCACCAAGGAAGTCATCAACGAAAAGAACAAAGAGGAAGACTGTGTACAAGCCTTCTCCAAGACAAATTAGCCCTTCCGTTTGCAACCATGAAGAGTCAATGAACTCAGTCAGGCATAAGGTCGAACAGTTTCAGGACTATTTTGAGTGCTCAACTGTCAGTTCCACTGACAAGGATTTCCTTAAATCTCCCACATCTGAATTTGGTTCTGACACCCTTGATGCTCCTCCATCGGTAAATGGGCTTGCATCGTGGTCGAGTTCCTGCGGTTGTACTTTCAATTCTTCGGGTAACGATATCGTCATGGACATGGATGAAAAGATGTCCGCATTGGATATTGAAGAAACGGATGAATTATTCAACATTATATCAGAGCCAAAACTTCCCCCAATTCTCACAAAACCCACAAAATTCAACACCATCACCATGCAGCCATTTCCAGAACAAGATCCTTCCCAGATCAGAAATTCTCCTTCGCTCTCCGATGAAATCGAAGCTCGTTGTCTTCAGAAACAAACTCCCACAACCCGAAAATCTACATCCCGTTCACCACGAGTGAAGATCCGCGGCGCTTCACCAAGACTAGCAAGCAAGAAAATCCAAGGGAACCGAAAGAGCGTCTTAATTAGCAGACGATCTAAGGCACAACAGAAGAAAAATGAATTATACACAGAGAGTGTTGCAATTGTGAAGGCGTCATTTGATCCTGAAAAAGATTTCAGGGAATCTATGATGGAAATGATAGTGGAAAACAATATCCGGGCATCCAAGGATTTGGAAAATCTTCTAGCCTGTTATCTTTCATTGAATCCAGATGAATATCACGATCTTATTATCAAGGCGTTTGAGCAAATCTGGTTCAACATCGCTGAAGTTCAGTCATAAAATTTTCAGTTTTATCTGTTCATGTAATTCTATATTGTAATTATCCGTAAGGAGATAATAAGATCTTCCCTATGCAGTATTAAATATGACTGCTTTGTAATATAATTTTAGCTTCATTTTCTTCTTAAGAAGTTGAAATTTTCTCTATCAAAAGACAGCTTTGCTACATAAACAGATCCAATGACAAGTTTTTATACACCGATACACTTGACAAATGTTCATTGACAGTTCAAAAAAAATAAACAAAAACAGTCAATTACAAACTGTCAAGTAAGTACGTCAAAAGGTGGCCTATCATCGAACTCTTCAAACAGCATTATTCATCAAAGAAGCATATCTGGTTGACATTCTACTTTTTTCTCTTTTATTTTCAACCACACAATCTTCTATAAAATAATATTACATGTAAATCGATAATTTTTTCATCTTTTTTAACCACTCATTTTCATTTCCAAAAGATGAGGGCCAAACAGGGGTTGAGTTGTGAAATTAAGTTACAATTTATTCGGCAGGACACACAAACTTGAAAAGTTTAGTTGATATTAACTTGTGGGTGCGAACAAAATTAAAAATGAAAATAATTGTCGTATATCATCATTCACAGATTGATGAGGTGGCAAAAAGAAAATAGGATAATTTTTTATTATTATTTGACTAGTGAAATTTTGACTCAATCAAATTTCGTTACTCAATATCAGTTGATAATAAAAGTTATAAAATTGTGATGTACACGTAACATCATCGAATTATAAATAAGGAAAACACTTGTTTATTTCATTTGAGGATACTAATTGGTTAGTTAAAAGTAGTGGAGGCGTACTATGAGAATTTAATAAAGTGAATTATACAAATAGACGGAATAGTTACTTTTCGCTTTGACAAAAATTAAGGTATCAATGGGGGAGATGGTGAGCCTCACGGAGGCCCACACTCCATTGTAATATATATATATATACACACACACGCACAAAATAGACTTTACAAACCATGTTCCCATCAATTTCATGTAGGGAATATCATTCGGGGAGTGAAATAATTTTGAATTATAAACAAGATAGAGAGAAATTATTTATTTATTTATACTACGAAAATGCTACTTGCACAGGCTCTGTTGCACAGAGCCTGTACAGGCACACACACATGTGGTGGGTTCACCCCTATGTGAGATGCCCTGTACAAGACCTGTGCAGGAGGTATTTTTCTTTATACTATTTTGAACATGCTCAATTTATAGATTGGAATTATCTTAAATCAAGCTCTGATCGTAGAATTTAGATACGAATCAAATAATTATTATTTTTTAAGTAAGATATTGAACGATTTTACTTACAAATATAAATTATATTATTTAGATTAAAACGTGAATAGATCCTTAGTGGTCAAATTTATTAACATAAGACATTGCTTTTTCATGGGATAAGTTCTGACAGGTCTGAATATATTTTTTTGTACCATATTGGCAAACTTCATCATAACTCTTGTCTCTGTTATTCGGTACATAAATGACGTTTTTTTTTTTTTTACTAAAAGCTTTAAAAGTTTACATACAGGTAAATAGAGTATAAATAAACAAGTAAATTTTGAAACAAGTTGGGTACCATTAATATTAATTTTTAGGAAAAATGAATTTTGATATAATGATTCTTTGGAGAATATCTAGTTAGGAAAAAAAATTTTGAATTTATGTATGAAAGGCCTAGATAACATTATATTAAACTCAAGATACAAAAATAGTCTTAACTCGATAGAAAATAAAACTTGCAGAAATTAAAATATTGAACACAAAATTTTTCGACCGAAATTCCAGAGGTTCGATGACCACTACTAACACTTATTCCCCTGTTGAACATCCAATAAATTTGATATTTGCTCAGTTGCACTATATAGCCCAAAAATGACAACGACTGTTACAAAGTTTAACCTGTACATAGATATAGCACAAGAGACTTATCTCTTTCAAGAAAATCGTTGATCTATAAAGGTATCACATAAGAAACCTCAAACCACCCATCTGAATATTAGAGCATAAGAACATCTTGTTCTTACAGATTTCACTCGAAATATACAAGAATCAGAGGCTACACTAACATATTACAGTCTCAAATGAGGTGTTCAAGAGAGAAAAAGATTTCAAATTAAATCCTAATCGATGTGAGTAAAACTCTCTCTCACTAAACACTCAAAATTGAAGCAATCCATATGCAAAGTGAAATGGCATAAATAAGACATACACAGTTACCATCCAGATGCCAATTCAACAATCAAGATGTCGCCAAGTGCCAAGATCTCATAAAAGGCGTCCACTAACAAAGTTGCCATTTTAGAAAGTACAACTTTAACTTCCAAACTTAGGGAGCATATAATAGATCACACGTTCGAACCTCAATAATCATCACATTGCTACTAGAAATTTGGGACAAAAAAGTGCAGCTAGAAGCAATATCAACAATTTCATTTTTCACTTTCTCTAAGTATTTGTACATTCAGTTCAAAGAATCAACGGATAATAACTTCAAACAGTTTTAAAATTTGTTTAAAGGTATTATTTTTGTTACCATATATGAAGGATTAAATTGGGCAGCAACCTTACTAATTTTCAGAATTCCTTTTGAAATAATATCTCTAATAAAATGATATTTAATAGCTATGTAGTTAATCCTATCATGAAACATGGGATTTCAAGACAAATGCATAGCACTTTGATTATCGGAGAATAGGATTTCATTTTCATCAATAAAATCAAGTTCATTTAACAAGTCACTTAACTATATTCCTTCTTTTTGTGCATCAGAAGCAACAATATATTATGCTTCAGTGGAAGATAAAGCCATAGTTTTTTGAAGTCGAGATTTCCAACTAATTGCAATGCCACAGAGTAATGAAATAAGATGATGTTCATTTTTTATTATCGCTATCTTCAACAAAGTCGGAGTCAGTATAACCTTTTGAGGTTACCCTATCTTTATTCATTTTAAACACAAGATCAAAACCAGAAGTTTCTTTCAGATATCTTAAAAGTCATTTTAAAACATTCCAATGTTCTTCCCTAGGGTTACTATGAATCTACTGAGAATGCTAATGCTATGGTCAAGGCCAAGTCTAATACATACCATCGAATACATAATAGATCCAATTACATTAGCATAAGGTTTAGACATTCTAACAAATTCTTCATCAGATTTAAGACAGAATTTAGATGAAAATTTAAAATGGTTTGCAAAAGGCAAAGTTACAGATTTACAATCAAACATCTTAAACTTGTTCAGAATTTTAATCACATACTCGTGTTGATTAAGAACTAACACATCTTTTTCTTTATTTCTCAAAATCTGCATACTAAGGATCTTTTTGGCAAAACCAAGATCTTCATATCAAATTCAAATTTCAGTTTATGTTTGATATCTTCAATTTTGCATTTATCACAAGTAGCAAGTAGCATTTCATCAACATAAAACACAAAATACAAAATTTTTTACCTCTTTCACCTTTACAATAGAGACAAGTATCATAGTTGCTCTTTTGAAATCTAGGTTTCAAAATAAAAGAATCAAACCTTCTGTACCACTGCTTTGGAACTTGTTTTAAGCCATGCAGTGATTTCTTTAGTAAAAAAATATAACATTTTCATAATCTCCTTTTATAAAACCAACAGCTTGTCCCATGGAAATTTTCTCATCTAAATCACCAGTAGAGAAAAGGAATTTAACATCTAATTGATCAAGTTCACATTTAAATTGAGCAACAAGAGCAAGAATGCATTTGATAGTAGTATATTTAACTATAGGGGAGAAAATTTTAGTATAGTTACGCCTTCTTTTTGTATAAACTCTTTTTCAACAAGTCTAGCTTTGTATCTAACACTTTTATTTCCCCCTTCCCCTTCTTTTATCTTTTACAATTAATTAGTTTATAGTCTTTAGGCTTGTTAACTAATTCCCATATTTTATTGTTAAGATGTGAAGACGTTTCATCTTCCATGATAGCTTTCCAATTTTTTAAATCTTTACAATTAGTAGCATCTTCATAGAAGTTTGCCTCATATTCAAACTGTTATTGATAAGTGAATAGAGAAACAAAATCATCCTTATCAAACCTAATAAGAGGTCTAATCTGCCTTCTCCCCCATCTATTGTGAGTTGATACTCATCAAGGGAAAAAGTTGTATGATCAGATGGGTCATCAAGTTCAGTAACTTGATCATTTTCAATTTCAGTTAAGGGAACATTTTCACCAAGGACGGTTCTTCAATTGCAATTTTAGGATCATCTCTCTCAATATAGGGAGTCTCCAGCTCAATTAGAGCATTTACTATAGTCAAATTATCTTTCTTTCCTTCTAAGTAAGGCATAATAGATTCATTAGAAATGACATGTTTTCTTATTATAACCTCTTCTTTTACCTACAATATGTAGCCTTTAACATTTTCACCATAATTCAAGAAAACACATATAAGTAATATAGGTTCTAACTTACCAATTTTTTGACGAGCATATGCGGCACAACCAAAATTTTCAGGTAAGATTAACCAATAGAATTTTTGGACCAAGCAGATTCAGGGACTTCAAAATTTAGAGTACTTATGGGGGTTTCATTAACAAGATATGCAGCTGTTTTCATAGCTTCATCCCCAAAACAGTTTAGGCAAACCGTAGCTAATTCCATTTTGTTGGGATGTATATGCTACAATTCTATGCCTCACAATACTATGCAATTTATCGAAATTATCAAACTCATAATTGCAGAATTCCAGGCCATTATCGGTCCTCAAAAATTTAATTTTCAAATCAGTTTGATTTTCAATCTGGATTTTCCATTCTTTCAAAATAGTAAATGTTTCATCTTTAGTTTTTAATAAAAACACCCAAAATTTCTTGAAAAATCATCAGTGATAAGAAAATAATATTTAAAACTAGATAGAGTAGTCATAGATGTAAGGCCACATAAACCAGCATGCAAGTATTTAAGAATCCATTTAGATTTGTAAGTTCTAGTAGGAAAAGATAATTTAACTTGTTTACTATTAAACATTGTTCACAATTAGAGAAATCACCAATATTTACTTTTCCAAACACTCATTTTGTAAAGATTTCAAAGTTTCTTGCCAATGTGGCCAAGTATTTCA